GGCATCGCTTCCTGGATCCACGCATCTCATCTCAAGCCTGCTTCTCCGCCGTCCAACCATGAATGGACTGTGGAAAAGACTGATAATCCTCTTAAGGTTCGGGTTCATAAGATTATTTGCCCAAGACCCAATTAGAGAAAATAACCCCAATCCCCACCAACCATGGAAATGGAGCCTTATAAGATGTGAAGACACCGCTCTGGTAAAAACATGGACCGGACCTGGTTCTCCCCAGTTCCGGGTGCCCATCTGCCAGTTAACTGTTATAACCCCTTGTATACGTACAGATTCCATTTATATGTGCCCTGCCTCTAACCCAGGAAAGGGATATTGTAACAGCCCGGGACATTATTATTGTGCTCATTGGGGTTGTGAGACATTGGCTACTGCCTGGAGGGCCTCAGGAGACCAATTCCTTAAATTGGGAAGGCCTTACGGGTGCACCCCCAATGCGGCAGAGCGATCTACCAGACTTATCACCCGTGGCTCCCCACCTTGTTTTGAAGACTGGATTAATATTTCCCAACCTAATGACCCAGGTTGGATGACTGGACATACTTGGGTCATCTGATATTGGGAGGACAAAACAGATCAAGGAGGCTTAATTTCTATAAAAAAGGAACCAGTTCTCAAGGAACCCCTAGGGATAAGACCCAATCCTACTCTGGTTAAAAATCCCCCAGGCTTACCAGCCACCTCAAAGCCTAAAACTACCTCCACTGCGCCATACCTCATGACCCCCAAATTAGTGCCCACTGTCCCTTATGGACAAGGGGATCAACTATATGCCCGACTATATAATCTCATCCTAGGGGCATATTCAGCTATCAACCATACTCAGGCCAACCTCACCCAATCTTGCTGGTTATGTCTGTCTGTCATAATAGGGCTTCACCGCCCCATTATGAGGGAATTGCCCTCCATGAAAACTATGCCACCAGTACCTCAGGCTCTGGCTGAGACTGGGACCAAAACCATAAACTTACCCTCTTGGAAATAATGGGACATGGGACTTGTATAGAAAAACCCCTGCTCATGTAAAGCCCCTATGCGCGGCCATATACCAAATTAAAAATACAAATATGTTTCTTCACCCCCCTGTAGGTTTAAAATGGGCATGTGATACTGGAATAACTCCCTGTGTGTCTACTAGGGTTTTTAATACTTCTGTAAACTATTGTGTAATGGTATCTATATTCCCCCGAGTTTTCTATCATTCGGAGACAGAATTTGAAAACAAAATAGTAGGTCAAACCAGATCTATAAGGGAAACAGTTTCTATCACCCTAGCCATGATTATGGGGATAACTGCCACTACTGGCATAGGCACTGGAACTGCAGCCCTTATACACACTAACCAACAAGTAAGCCAGCTACAAGCAGCAATAGATGAAGATTTAAAATCTATTGAAACATCTGTCATGGCCTTCCAAAATTCCTTAACCTCCCTTTCTGAAGTGGTCCTCCAAAATAGACGCGGATTAGATTTACTTTTTCTGAGGGAAGGAGGACTATGTGCAGCCCTAAAAGAACAGTGTTGCTTTTACACGGACCATTCAGGTGTTGTCAAAGAATCTATGATGAAACTAAGAGAGAGATTGGAACAAAGACAAAGAGAACGCCAAGCTCAACAAGGTATTTTGAATCTTGGTTTAATCGATCCCCGTGCTCAACAACTTTGATAACTGCCTTGGCAGGACCACTGATACTTCCACTCCTTGCAGTAACTATTGGACCTTGTATAATCAATAGAGTCATAGATTTCATCCGCAATCAAATTGGTAATGTTAAATGATGATCATTCGGCAACAATATGAGGCCT